CTAACCCAAGGACTCCTCAGGGTCGGGGAAGGCATGCAGAGAGCCAGACCCCCTCCCCAGGCATGTGAGCTGTAACGCTTCCCTCTTTGGGTCTTGCTGGGAAGCAACAGTATTTAGCAAACATGGTGGTGGTAGGTGGGAAGGTGGGGACAGGCAGGGGATCTGCCCTCTTTCCTTCTGATCACCTGAACCGGCTTTGTCCCATCCTCAACCTCCTCCTCCCCTGCTGTGCAGAGCCCTGTGGAGCCTTTCCTTGTTCTCCCTAAGGCTGAGTGCTCCTGAGAGCTCTCTGCTTCTGCCACTGAGCCCATTTCCCAGTCAAGGAAGCTGGCAGAGGAGCTGAGCCGGAGCTCTGCTGTGGGAGGGGCATCACAGCTAGAGATGAGAGCCCCCCCACCCCACCCCCCGCACCTGACTCCCCCCAAATGGAAATGGAGGCCTAGTGTCCCTAACATCCAAGCTTGGTCTGCACAGAGGGCCCTCTCTTTTTCCTCCTCCTCTTCCCAGCACCCTCTTGAGCCCCACTGCCTACGCCCCTCTCCATCATCCACCTTGCCCCAGCTGCTGTGCCCCACCACCCAGCAGGCGGCACGGCCACCCACGAGGACAGACTCCACTGCCTCTCGGAGGTGCCAGCTCCAAGCCAGGCAGTTGTTAGGCATATAGGTACAGCTGGAGCAGAGGGCATATAAATAATGACTGGCCACTGGGTGAGGTCGGGCTGGCCCAGGCCACTGGCCAGGTGCTCAGTACCTCTGAGTGACCATTGGACTCCTGGGAGCAGTAGATGTCGTGCTTGGTCTGGTAGAAGGACAGGACTCAGGGCTTAGGAGAGAAGGCAGGCTGGCCCCAGGGAGGGAAGGAGTTTGGCTTCTCCATCCCAGCTTGCTCTTGGCCACAAGGCAGCTCTGGGCACCCGAACTGAGAGCACAGTATGCAGCTCAGGCCCAATCCTAGCGGCCAGCACATGGCCTGAAAGGGATTTCAGGTGAAGGAGAGGCCATCTATAAATATATATCTTTAAAATCAAGATAACTCACCGGCCTGTCTACTGGGTGTAGTTCTTGGCTCTCCCTCACCCTGTCAGATCTGTTCCCTTCCATGGGAGCCCTTGGGGCTGCTGTGTTCCAAACTGTGAGGACACTGCTGGTGGCGGCCCAGAGACCTGGCAAGGAGTGAGTTCTCACGCAAGGGGCTGCTGCCCATTTCCTACTAACCCCCTTCTAGCAGAGGCCCACCCGGGAGAATTATGTGAAAAATCAAACCCTGCTTGGCCGCCTTGGGCTGGCTCCAGCTTGGAACCGGACAGACCCTTGGCTTCCAGGTGCTACCCTAACCTATGAGCGCCAGGAACTTCAGTTCTCTCTAAGGGGAACCAGAGCCTCTGGAAAATTCTCTTCCCAGTGGTTCCTTGGGCGTGGGCCACAAATGTGATTGGTTCTTTCCATTCCCACTTTCTCGAAAACAGATGTCATAGTTCCAGCTACCTGGAAAGGGACCCTGGGTTCAGGTCTCTCGTTCCCTTCCTCCCAGCCTGGCCCAGCCCTCTGACTCCTTCCCCAAGCCTCTGGCGACTCAGGAGGCCCGCAGTCCAGCCTGCGC